GATATAGAAATATACATATTTTAAGTAAGTAGACTTCAAATATTATCAATGAAATATAATTTTTATAAATAGTATTGCATCTAATAAAAAATCCTAGAAGGCAAGTTCACGAGATAGTCTTAATTGAAAGCTAATAGTGAATACGATCCTTACAAGAAATTTCTCATAAGAGCAAGTAGCAAACATGATCTCCATTCATAAATCCTGAAAGGCATGCCCATAAGGTAGCCTTGTTAGGAAGCTGTTAGTGGATATATTCCATACTAGAAATACTTCGTATGTGCAAGTGGTTGATATGATCTTTACTCATCTAAAAACCACAAAATATATAAGCCTTAGAAGTTAATGATATACTAAAAATCTCATCTACAACAAATTTGAGTCAAATAAGTAAAATTTTGTCTCATCTACAACATATGGTTTCAATAGCTTCAACGCTAATGTTGATGCTTGACATCGCTAATATTAACATAAAATATCAACATCAAATTGAAAACTAAATTTCATGAATTGAAGTACTTTCATCAACATCATTTTTACATTATTATAGCTATAACAATTTTTATAATAATTACCTCCTCATTGGGAGGGAATTGAAGCTTTAATAAAAGGATAAGAAAGTTTCTCCCCTTTGAGGAGAAATTTATATTTGAATAGGGGGGATTGGAAGTTACAAAAAAATTAGGGAAAAAAAAAAGATTCCTAGAAACGAAATGAATTAAAAAAATGAAAAAGAGTTTCTATGAAAAAGAAAACTAGATTAAAAAACATATTAGGTGCCTCTTAAGGAACTGTCTACCAAGGGTGACGCCTGCGATATACTGTGTCGGATGGCGTCGCCGCACATATCGGTGCCACCACAAATGATGATTAGCAGGCCTAGGCAAGCCTATTGTAGCATTTTTGTTGTCGCTTGTTTTGTTGTTGTTGATATTATGGACTCAATTTGGGTACTTTCAAATCCGAAAAACATTTATGATCATTTTAAGAAAATTTAAAGAGTTTAGAGCAAAATTGTTTAATAATCTTTCAGCCCAATAGACCCACTAATTTCACACAATGTTAAAATTATAATTAAATAGATTTTCTTTTGCTCACAGTCATGAGAAGAGATCCGTTTTGATGTCAAAGGAGCTACACACCTCATAATTGTTTTGAAATTGTAACTTTATGTTGCAAATTTTTTTGAAGATTTCAAATATATCTCGAACACCACAAGCTTCGATGTCCAAAAATAATATAAAATGATACATCTCTAGAAAATTTAATTAATAAATATAAATCTCATGTTGATATTTGATTTAGAAATTTTTTAGAATTAAATTCCAAACCATGAAAACTCTGGTTTCAATAAATTTATAGTGGAACTGAATGACATGGTGAGAAATACTCATAGATGTCACAAATGATCTAATTTGAGTCCAAATAAACTCAATAAACACTTTAAGAATATTAAGAAACTTTTAAATATTAATTAAATGACTAAATAGTATCTACATTTTGCATTATTATAGGCAAATCGAGCGACTTGACAAGACAAATCCAAGCACCCCAAGATCATTTGTTCTAATATCATTAAGGCACTCAAACGCTTTATAAGTCATCTAAAACCAAGAGGACAACATGGATCATTCGATAAAATATTGTTGATTATGACCAAAATTATAAAAATGACATTAAAAAAGAATTAAATAAGGCCTCATTTTCTACATAAGAAGATATTTGAGAGCAAAGAAATGTGAAGTACTCTTCCATTTTCTAGTGATCATTGCTGATGACCACCATGGCAATCTCTACTGCCATTATCAGAATTCTATCATTCACCAATTGTCAATTAACCTTGTTGTTGAATTTTTAACTATCTGCTTGTGAACACCCGATTTATGTAAACTATATAATGAGAATATGATAAAGTATTCTCAACTGTGTATAATATAATTTTCTTCAATTATAAGGAAAGGAGGATTTTTGCAGCTTGTATTATTTAGTATACCATTACAACTGGACAAGACCTCATGGTTTTTCTGTTGCTCAATATTTCACATAAAAATGACAGTCTCATACAACTTTTATTGTGCATGTCGTATCTTTGTCCAAAATTAATATATTAAACGTGCATTCTACAACTACAAATTTTTCTTACATGTAACAATTACAAATTTGGAACTTCTTCTACACACTGGCTTTTTCCATTGTATTTATTCATTATTGGCACCCTCCTCCACCTGGGTGGCTGAAAATTAATCTAGATGCAGCTCTTAAAGAAAATTACATGGCTGTAATCGGTGGGGTGGTAAGAGATGACAAAGGAAGATTGATTTATGCTTTTGGAAGGAAAAAACTACATTGGGATAGTGCACAAATGGAGCTATCAGCTTTCAAAATTTTAGATGAAATAGGTCATGAATGGACTAGAGAAGTTAAAGGGATTGTATTGGAAGGTGATAACAATAATGTTCTCCAACATCTTCATAACTTGTACAGCAAATCGAAGATCACTAGAGAGAACTTGGATAAAGAATAGCTCCTTTTCCTTAGTAAGTTCAATTACTTTATTTTTAATTGTGTGACACGTAAGTGTAATAAGTTAGCTGATTATTGTGCTAACTTAGCTTTATCTTTTGATTTTGATTGGGATATGTTCATTGAGAATAACCTTCCTTCTTCCTTTGTGAAATTAGCAAAGGAAGATAATGATAGATGGTTGATTCCTCATTAGCTTGTATCTAGGCTTCTTTTGGTTACTTTTTATATATTATGCTACTTAGCATTTTCTCAAAAAAAAAAAAAAAAAAAAAAAGAATTGGAGGGAATAGCTATTAATTGAAATTATAGACTTAAAATATGAGACTTTCCAACTTGGGAATGCCTAGGATTTTTTTCCTTTATAGGTTTAATATGTAAAAAAAAAAAGGTGGTCCTTGTTCTTATGCATATTTTTTTATTATTTGTGGATATTCATTCTAGAGTTAAGACAAATTCTAAATTTTTTATAGAGATATAATTGATAACTTTTCAATAAGATAGTTTTTGTCATAGCCTTTAAGTTTCAACAATAGATTATGGATAAATTTTTAATTAATATTTAAATTTATTTATCAATAAAATTAAGATTGGCATGTCTATATTTATATAATGTGATATAGATTTGAAGAGCATGTTTTTTTAATTAAAATTTTGATGGTTTAATTATGGCATACAAGAATATATAAAATTTCTTTTTATTGGATGATTATTTTATAAATAACATTAACTTTAGCATTGATATGCCTTAAGGAATTTAGTTTGATCAGCACGAATCTTGATGTACTATTTGACTTGAAATTTTTTTAAATTAAATTAAAAGTTATTCTAATTATGATTTCAGCAAATTTGTAGTCAAATTAAGTGTCTTGACAAGGCAAACTCAATGGTATTAAAAGTGATCCGATACGATTGAAGTCCAAATGAACCCAAAATCAAGCACTTGAAGTAAAATTGAAAACTTTGAAGTGTTGCTTAAATGATCAAACAATCTCTAAATCTTACATATTTATAATCAGATCAAGTGGCTAGATTAGGCAAATCCAACAAGGCCAAGATAACTAAATTATGAGGTCATTAAGTCACTTAAAATGCTAAATCATTGATTTATGATTAAATGATTCAATATGAGTCGTCCGATAAAATCATACGAAATACTTTCTAAATTTTGAAAATACTACTCATAAAATAATATTTATAAACCCCCCATTCTCCTCATAAAGGATAACTGAACTTGAATGTAGAAAGAATTTGGAAATCTAAAAACTCTAATGCGATGTTCGACATCGATAATCACAGTCATACACCATCATTACCCCACTTCACTGTCGTTATAATCCAATCAATCAACTTAATGAGAGAAATCCATTGTCGTTATCTAACAAACCATCGAGAGCATTTAGTTGACTGTCATCACCTAATTGTCGTCTTTCATCCATCATCACCCTACCACCATCATCTAATCACCATTCCCTAACTATCAAAATTCATTTATCACCATCTAATCATCATCATCATCTGATTGTCATTATGATCTCATCATTGCTGATCATAATCATCTGATTATTATCACCTAATTAGCACAATTCAACTAATGCATCTCTAACATTCTCCATAAGATTCACAACAATACGTACTCATATTATATACTTTGTAATGTCATCTTCTATATTTTAGAAAAAGGGTGTATATATATGGTCGAATCAAATCGCATATTTTTTTTATACTTTTCACATAAAATTTTGATTTTATTTTTATCTATATATGTATTGAACTTTAGTGAAAAACTATTTACAAAAAAAAAAAAAATTATCGGCATAAAGTTTGCGAACATAACAAAAGTATAGGAGTAATTCTCCCACAGATTTTCAACTCCCATAGAGGAAAACTTCATATTGAATTCTACTCGCTGGATTATTTTTTAAGCTTCAATTTTTTCTTCTTCGGCAAACATAATATTTTTTTTAAAAGAAAAATGGGTCAAATATTTTGACCAACTTTTTTATTTCTTTTTGATGATTTCATAATTTATTTAAATATAAATTTAATAAATATAAATTAGTTATTTAATGGTAATTTATTTTAAAATAAATTTATTTTGATATTTATTTTTATTAAATTTTAATGAGAATATTATGATTCTCAGACTTTGAAATTCAGATCCGCCCCGTTTGGTCGTAAACTCTCGTATTGCCAGCCTGTTAACAGCCCTCACCTCCGTTACCTGAAAAGACCAAAATATCCATCTCTTGTTCGTCTAAAGTGGGCTACTAGCACCGTAAAATTTTCCGAACTAAGACGTCTATAAATGTCATTACATGAAAAAATTGCTATCTGGTTACCTGGTGCGAGCATCCGTCCAGATTTAGACTAATGACAAAGCGACACGTGGAAAGACTTGTCCGGACCTACGGTTCGGTGAGCCGAAGCAAAAGACAGCTGGAGACAGGCTGTCAGCAACCAGGCCATCCCCTCTTCCCCACCTTTTCTGTGTCCTTCATCTCTTTCTCTCTCTAACTCCCACGCTCTCGCCCACCCCTGTACAGTGACCTTCCGCTAGCTAGGGTTTCCCAACACATCCCCGGACCTTTGATGCCGTGAAAGCTAATTGGATCTATACTCGTCCCTCCGGGGTCTCCTTTCGAGCCCGGCATCGGTGGTTCGGCCTCATTATTCGTTGCCGGTGCTGGATATTAGGGTTTTGATTGAATGCGGGACGATCACAGATCTCCCTTACGGTGAGTATCCTCTACTATGCTTTTGTTAGCTTTTCCTGCATGTTGTTTTCTTATCTGTTTCTCTTTGAATATTTAAGAGAGATTGCTAATGTGGTGTGTAGCTTCTTCATGATCGAGATCTTGATCGTTGCTCTTTTTTTCTTAAACCGTGGTGAAAATTGCTAGATTCTTTATTTCTTATGCTTTTGTTGCATTCTCCTGTAATTCATTGGGTAAACCTTTATTTTTTAAAAAATTTCAGTTCTGGTTATGGTATCAGCAATGGGGTTAAATACTTAAAGTTGCACCTTGTAGTTCTGTCTTTTGAATTTGAAAGCTTTTTTATATTTGTTCGATGTGTTTAAAACTAGCAAAAAATAACAGGGAGCACATGGTTAAGATTTTGGTCGAATGATTCAGCGCTAATTTGATAGGGTGACTTGATAGCTTGCTTTCTCTTTATGAACTGCATAGATTCTTGGTTCCAGTAGCTGCATGTGAAATTTTGTATTAAATTACATGATTTCAAGTTTTTTTCGTTTTCAACTCGAGTAAATAAAAGCCTTGCTTGATTGATTTCTTTCTATGAAGTGTAAGAACGTTAATAAATTCATCTATTCCATGTTGGATACGATGAAGTGCTTATTATCATGAACAAACCCTAATTTTCTTTTATTTACTCTTTTTTTCTACGGATTGAACCATCTGTATGTTGAATGCTGGGATAAACTGAGATGGAACTTTTTGTAGGATGATTAATAGTTATCAAATGGAAATACTAGTTTTGTTTCTTTCATTAGAGCCATTGCTTGAATTTTTCTTTGCAGACATCTTTTCCTTCCAAGGAACTAAATTTTTCTTATTCTTTATTGATTTGGTATATGCCAATTTTCTTTTATCCCTGTAATTCAGCTTGATTATTTACTGTTGTCTTTTCTTCTCTTGTCCTGCTAGACTCAATTATTTGTTGAATGGTCTGTGTTCATTACAAATAACTTTTGAGTTTTATTCCTGGTTCTTAACTATTCAGGGCTCCTAGGCATAACTTTTGTCCCTTTGTTTCCTAATTCTGCAACATTTCTTGAAACCTATTTGGAATCATGCTTTCATAAATATAAAATCACCAATCCTTCTAACTTCGTTTTACCTTTTCAGTCTACTACAATTTCCCTTTTTCATGGTTTAGAACACCATTGAAATATCTTTCTAATTGATGGTCACTGCTGCTCCATCACAGTATTTCTATTTCAAATGTATTTTAGGAAACTCTTTTGCATTGTTTTAACGAAGTTTGTTTGTTCAGGTGTTGTGTTGACCAAGGACTTCCTTATTTGCTGGAATCATAAGATTTATTTTAGATACCATTGCTACAGCTTTCAGGTTTTTATTTTTGCACTATATGACTTCAGAAAGTTTGGAAGAAGAAGGCATACTTCCAAAGATACATTCATCATTAATCCTATATGAGTTCAAGATCAAACACCGGCTATAGTGGATCACTCACTAGCATTTCAGTAGATATCTCCTCATTACATGAGGTTTTTCTCCGTATACGCCGCCGCTAGTGGGGAGCATGCGCAGTATCCGTGTTTTGGGTGATGCCCCTGACCAGAGTTGCCACCGATGTATTCGGTGTGGTGACCATTGCCCTCGTCACTTTAACCTCCATCTTGGGATTACTGTGCATCTATCGCTGCGTCTATTTTCATCTACAGATCCAAAGACGAGGCTTCTCCCACCTCAGCTATTTTAACGGTCCCTGGATCATTCGAATTCTCATAATTATCATTTCAATCTGGTGCGGATTCGGTGAGATTGTCAGATTAAGTTTCCTAAGAGGGACAGGAAAGCCTTTCTCTAGCATTAGATGGCAGAAGTATGGTTGCAAGTTTTACATCCTCTCAAATCTTGGCTTTGCGGAACCCATTATCTTTCTCATACTTGCTTTCTTACTCCATGCCGCACTCCAGAAGAGGGAGTCGGGCTCTCTGAGTCAGAGATGGAACAGGAAGACATTTTTCTATGCCATCCTTCTGTGCATTCCGGTATTCATCCTTCAACTGGTCTTCGTTTTATTAGGACCCGAGTTTAACAAGGATGAGATACCTAGAACGAGAAAGAAGATGGCCAAATTCTTCATGACCACATCTTTGGTGAATAATAGGAGCATATGCACTTATCCTCTTCTTAGCACTATAATTTTAGGGTTATTATACTTTCTTGTGATATGTTATGTAGTCTACATTGGAAGCCGGTTGCTCTCGTTGGTGATCAACAAGAGATTGAGAATGAGGGTTTACTTCCTCGCTCTATCAGTTATCCTCTTCCTTCCTCTAAGGGTGCTTTTGCTTGGATTCTCAGTGATGCCTCATGCAGGAAATCTGGCTTATGAGGTGCTTATATTCTTGGCCTTCCTCATGCTTTTGTTCTGCAATATGATAGGCATCTGCATGCTTGTCTACCTCCCTGTAGCGGATTCTCTGATCTTGCGAGACATTGAACAAAATATTGGTGAAATGAATGAGACACCTTACGATGACTACTTTCATGAAGATGCTTCACTGATAGCTAACCAGAGCCATCAAGATGCCTCAAGGAATTCGGATGCGTCGACTAAGCGGGGTTCGATATCATTCCGGACCATGATCAAGGATGATTCTCCTGTGCTGGATGGTATTGAGGAAGGCCGGCCTAGCCCTTTTGCAACCCTTCAGATTGTTTCGCCTGTAGGGTCTTCTTCTGCGTACAGGGAAGTGGAGACTCCATTATACTAGGGAAGAACTGCACTCTTTCCTCTTTTTTTTTTTCCAACTTTTTATTCACCTTTTTGTAGTTTAGTGATCAGTTTTTGGTAAAGAAAACGTTTTATGTAAAGAATTTTAGTATTTGATCCCCATTCGAGCGAGTATGGCGTGGTTTTATAGGTGAAATTGCTAATTTTATTTTCTCTTATTTGGCCGAAGGGTGAAGAACAATTTCTGCTGGATTGGGTCTGCCAATCTGGGCAAATTAGTAGGTCCGGTCACCGGGCCTAAATTTGCGTCCGGATAGCCTGTTGTTCTTTCCATGCGCTTTTATTGCACTTTTGATATATTTTTGTAAAATGTCAGTTAATACATAATTTTAATTGCATATTAGCTGTCCTTTAATTGAGTATTTGAAAAACGCAGCAAAAGGTCAACAAATATTCAATGAGTAAGATATTTGTTGTATTTTTGCTATGCTTTTGCTTTATTTTTGCAAATACTCAATAAAAAATAGCTAATATACAATTAAAATTATGTATTAATTATCTTTTTGCAAAAATATATTAGAAGCGCATTAAAAAAGCTCACCAATCAGGATGTAAATTTAGGGACCTAATAATTTTCCGCCAAACTGGAACCCGTTTCTATGTTGATAGATGACAGTTGTATGCAACGTACTGAATCTTATTATATGAATGCTTGCTGGGCGCTGTGGCTAAGCTGGCTGCCAGCTTTTAACTTTTCAGTAAAAGCTAGCTGTCTGCAGCCATTATTGACTGCCGCCAATCTCTTGTCTATAGCTTCAGTTGCTTTTCCAAACGCTTATATATGGACTATTTCCTTATATTACTTTAAAATTTCAACGGCCAATTCATTACTGCTCTAATCATGGTAGAGTTAACAAAAAATCAATCTACAGTAGCAAAGTGTATGAGAAATGACTTCTCTCAAAGGCAAAATCACCTTTGGATAATTTGAACTACTACATATGATCCAAAGCAATTGCTTGCATGATTCTCCCACTAGTCATCAACATATTCTAATAATTGGAATGTAGTCATGTCCACCTTACACTGAATTTAGTAGTTTGAAATATTTTCTTAATATCATGAAGTCATGAAGTTGATTTAGTTGGTCCTACCATCCTATTAAATGTAGGAAGATTAGTGTTTAGAAATTGATCCATCAATTAATCTATCAGCCCTCTATTAGCATGGATGACTTGTAGTATTTAAATTTTAATATTAGTTTAGGGGGCTAAGTTAATTATTGTCATTTAAGTCATTTACCCCTTCAATATTGATTGATTTATATGAATCAAAGATATCAAATGGTGCTCTTAAGATTTCTTGTCACATTAGTTGAGCTAGTTGTGATGTTAGTTCAATTGATTGTGATGTTGTGTAATGCTTCAAGATCTAATTTTGAAAGAATTGTTTATCTTAATCTCTTAATCAATCAACTATAGTTTTTTATGAATTCATTAGCATAATCCAATCCAGCATAAGTAACTAAAATTTTTTTACATTAAAACATAAAATTATATTTATCTCTAGAATTTTATATGGAGCATACTTTAAAACTATGGGAGCGAGTTATGGAGTATAGGTTGCGGCGTGATACTAATGTTTCTCAAAATCAAAGAATTTCATATATATATATATATATATAAGTCAGGAGATCAATCATTACATTCAATTTAACTCTCTAAACTCTTGATTACAAAAGAATAAAATTAGAAAAAATTCAGAAATAAAATAAAACATGAATAAATGATCCGTTCTCATTCCACTGGATCCTAATCCCTTTCTAAAAATATGTAAAATCATCGAGTGAGTTAACAGCTTAGCAAGTTACTAGAACCTACATCTTAAATCAATGCAAGGTAATATGAATAATATGCGTGTAATCATTCTATCTTTATTTGTATGAACGTATAACTAAAAAAGTATGTAATAATCAATGAAACAATAACATGTCACATGATCAATAAATATCAGTACAACTATATATCTAAAGAGTAGTGATCAATAACTAAGTGAACAACGATCAAGAAGTTTTGTCAATCCTATACTCTAGAGTTATAAAATAGTTTATATAGCATATTACTACATCATAAGCTGTCGTATTCTGCCCGTTGGCATATCATATCAATATCTCTTTGTATCTCTTTTTATATTATTTAGGATTACACCATAGATCTTATTTAAAAGAAAAGCTCGTTGGCCCACCCTCTATAATATAACATGTCTTTAATAGTCCTGAATCATTTTTGCCAGCCTTTCTTACATACACATATTTCACAATAGATATAATATAATAAACATATGATACCATAGTCAATATTCAATTCATTGTATCATGTTAATACATGTAAAATTTATATATATATATTAAATTAGTGCAATTCATAAAAAATGCTGTGCGCTCTTTTTTATCATTTATGAATCTATTGTAATAAATAGCATGTCATAAACTGATATTAAGAAAATTTGATAATTATTTATCTAATTTGCATATTTATCTAATCTTTTTAGTTAAAAAATTTCTCCCAAAATATAAAAATATCTGATGAAAATTTAATATATTTATACCAATATACACATAATGATTAAAACTATAACCTACAAAAAAATTACACGATTAAAGTTTAATAAAAATAAAGATATCATAATTTTTGTAGCCCTATCTTGAGAAGAGCAAAATTTCCAACCGGTTAGGCCAATAAAAACAGCTCTAACTCCTTTAAACCAAGCTTTCTTTCCCCTCAACTCTCTCTTTTTCCCTTAATTTATTTATTTTTTTCCTTCTCTAGCTTGAGGACAATGAAAGGGATAAGGTAATTTAATAAATTATGTTAAGTGGATTTGGATTTTTTTTAATTAATATAAGAGTATTTTGATCATTATGATAATTATTTAATTTTAGTATAAAATTCATATAATTAAATTCTTTTATATCTTCAAATATGAGGCTCTAAAAATTATGAAAAATATCTATAAAATAGTCCAACATATCTAAAATGCTTCGGTGAAATCGGCTTGCAAAACAGACGCCTAACGGTCCTAAAAAACTCACTTGTACCAATATGTATCAATTTCTCAAGGAATTACAATTAAATAATAAACTACATTGCCTATAAAATTATGAGAAAATTATTATAACTAAAATAAAATAATATCTATTATATGATAAAAATAATTTGCAAATTGAACCTATAATAACTCCTAAAATATCATTTGACTAGATCAACATATGAGCTATTACATATTGTCTGCATGGCTTTGTGAATCTCTTGCATTGTTTAAGCAAGTTTCGAGAAAGCTACGTTATATTAGGTTGGGAAAATATGATGATATGATATATTTGAATGAACAAAGTTTTGAACCTTTATTACAAATCTAATGGACAAATTCTAAGTTTGCAGCATAAGTTAGAATTATGTTCTATCTTGATTCGAATAATATTTTAAATGGCAAATCAAATTTAGACATCATTTTATGAATTCAAATAGAATTTTAGCTGATGTTCAAACATCTTATTGTGTGTATAATATATTTTAAACCCCTTTAAAATTTGTTTTCAACCCTTTCTAACTTAGTATTCGAGGCTTCAAACCTAGCATTCAATCCTGCTCCTTCCTTTGGCTAGTCTTTAGAACTTAGAAGACATAAATTTCTGTCACGGGCGGAAAACGAAGCAGACCGATTGGGTCGAGGGCTAAAATTTACTCGAGATTCTTTAAAATATTTTCATTCAGCTAATTTAAGTTAGTTTCAAATTCAATCATTTTAATACAATTTCAACTAAAATTTACTCGAGATTAAATGGACTGCCGATGATCATGAACTGTTTACTGGGCATTTGAATATCTTAATGATATCAAAATTTGACAATCCTGGGCTTGTTCGATTCATCTCGTCGAGCCGCTAGATTCAACTTTAAGCATGTCATATTTGGAACTTGTTTGATAATCCAAATTATGGATTAAACCATCCAAATGAGCTTCAAATCTTTGATTTGGACTCGTTTGGGGTCGGATTGAGTCGAATTTGGTGTCGTTAGGTTCGTATTTTTGAGCCGTTCAATTTGACTTTAAGTTTGTTGAAATCGGAGTTCAAATGGTCTCAGATTTAGTTTTTGAAGCTTTCAACTTAAATAATTGGTTTTTTATTGTTTTTTTTAGGGGAGGGGGAGGGGAGTAGGGGGAGCACATGGTGCTCATGCAGGGCAAAGCCACAGCGGGTGCAGGACGAAGAGATGCCCGGACGCAGATGAGGCGAGGACGGGTTGCGCCTGCGGGTCCGAGCGAGGGTTCCCGGTCAACTCTGTGTCAATCGCACTGTGTCACAAGATGAAGTGCCGAGTTAGACTCCTGAAGCGCGAGGCCTGCACGACAACCAAGTTTTTCGAGTCAACCGAGTTGTTTTTGGTTTTCTAAATCAACACGAACCCGACTCAATTTTTTAAACGGGTCGAAATCTCGAATCTAAACATGACCCTTACGAAAAATGGGTTTGTGAGAACCCATAACCCAAAATTTTCGTCTGATTAGATCCGGGTCAAATTTTTGGTCCGATCATATTTTGACACCATGAACATGTAAAGTCAATCTTTTCATTCTTGAATCTTCAAGAAACAAAAAATCAGTTTTATGCTACCCATTCAAATATTTTCCTAGCGTGGCGGCTTGAGCTTGGTCGGCGTTCGACCTATGATCCTCACTCCTCAGATGCCGGATTCACCCCCAGGATTTATTTTATTTACATTGTGACTCTAAGCTACACGGCCCGTTGTTACCTGTACGCTTCCAGGGCGGCACGATTCCAGGGCGGGGGTATTTTAGTAACCTCCTTACCGCGGCAGCATAAAAGTACATTAATGCGCACCGTCCTGGAAAAAGAGGAGTTTGCTGCGCGAGAAATTCCGTTATTGCGACAGAATAAAAACCCCATATTTTTTGTGGCGTTCTTTCCGTGTGTTCGAGAGAGAGAGAGAGAGAGAGAACGTGCGATCGACAGGTAGCGGAATGGCTTCGTTTTCGGAGGCTCCGCCCGGCGATCCGAAGGCCGGAGAGAAGATCTTCAAAACGAAGTGCGCCCAGTGCCACACGGTAGAGAAAGGAGCCGGACACAAGCAAGGTGCTTTACACCGATTTGCTCTTCCTCCATCCATAAATCGCTGTTTACCATATTTCATT